TCCATGTTTACTGGACTGGTGCCCTTAGAATCTACCAGTGCATTGGTTGCTGCAAACGCTGGTATTTCACCTTCAACGGTGCTGAATGTGCAGATCCCCTACCTATTGATGGTATTGTCTTCTTAGGGGGCGTTAGATCCCAAAATCCCCACCGGGTCCGTCATATTGAGGGACACTGTAACAACATCCACACAGGAAAGGTGCGCGTGGGATTCTGGGTTGGGGATTGCAGTAGTGGCGGTAAGGTTTATGGAGGAGGTGCCGATGCCTACTCGGGATTTATATCAGTGTCCCGGATCTTTGTTGAAGAAGTTCCCAAGCCTCAGGACTAGTTTTCGATGCAAAACAGTTTCAGTGTTTAAATGCTTATTGTGGAATAAAATGTTCGATTGGCACTTGTTAAAACTTTTCGTTTTTTCAAGTAAATGAAGCATGAGCAGATTGGCTGTCTTACTACAGCTTTGTGATTATAACTGGTTCTAATTTAACAACGAACACAAATATCTTTTGTAACGAATTAGAGACTCTAAGCCTTGTCGCATTACTTATTGAACAGTTTTTGTACGTTCAAGTTTTGTCACTGATCAGATTTAAATGTTGACTAACTTGTAACTTTGCACCACTGTTGTTAAATAAAAGCAGATAAAATGAGGAGTGATCTACACTGAAAAAAAGAAACCCAATAATCAATGGCTCGCTTAACGGCAGGCACAGCAATAAATGATTAAACAGACACGTTAACCACGTTTCTTACCATTGCAAGAGGCTGTCCTCCTTCAGTTATACAGTACAGTGCTGGTACGCAGTGCACACGAATTCCATGATTCTTGCGTAGATCTGAAAAGGAAAAAAGGAATTTATTTCCAGCAAATGAAATTTTTTATGACTCCTACTAACTAGACCAAATGTAGTTCATCCTAGGTTAACTAGTCCAATAGACTTTTTGGGAAAAAGTGGAGTTCATTTGGACCTGGAAAGGGTTAGTTTAATTAGGGAGTGACAGGTACTCTAACCTTGAATAGCACTCGTAATTACGTTGGACAAATGGGAATCAGTAGTAGTTACAAGTCTATCCTGTGACCAATACCACAATAGCAAATTTACATTGAGCAATGGTCACGAGTTTTCACGGTGAAGTACTTAACCACGAATACACACTGATAGAACAAAAAGAAGGCAGGGTGTGTTCCTCTCAGTCTACAGGACTCGACACACACTGCCAGTTCAGCCCACCTCCACCAAGTTAAGCTCACTTCCTATCCTCTCTCATGAATGATTATAACTCATCTTGTCTTATTAGGCTCCCTTTTTCTTTTGACCTCACCTTTGCCTGAACTTAATTGTCAATAGATTAGTTATCCATTTATCTTATTTCCATGAGCGGTTTTTAATGAATAACAGCGGCCATGGCACATCGCTCAACTTACCCTAACACTGACGTGGTTGGTCTATTACGATTTTTTTTGTGATGTTCTCAGCAAACGAAACTAAATATTTTGTTCTTCAGATTGATATTAAAAAGGGTGAGAAATCTTTGGTGTGAAAAAAAACGGAATTTTTATACAAAAGCTGAGTGATAAAGATAGAGTACATATCTGATAAAAGCAAGCAAAGCAACGGGGAACTAGTGATAAAATTGGAACATTCAACCTGTAATTAAAATACTGAGTCACCCGGATTGACAATCAACCACAAAGGGTGCTTAAAAAGATCAATTTCGACTACTGAGCTGCATCTAATTACAAGCACCTTATTTCTGGGACTTAATTCATGCTCAGCCTAGTCCTTTTGGTATTAGTTGTACGCCAAGCGAATAGCACAAGCATGGTCCTGGGAACTGGTTGTGACGTCATACACACTTTTTCGCCACGTCACAGGTTAGTGTAAAGAGGATATTTGGGAACTAGGCTGCCGGATACCTTCAGCAGGATGCGTAGATTGTTAACCGATCTTGAAATTAACCCCAAAGGATCTGATTTTACTCTGTAGTATGAAACAGCAGCAGTATTCTCCGAAATGCTACATGTACCGTCAATAGAAAAATACCGGACAAGCATGCGAAGGTAAGTGAAACTTTAATCACTGTGAAATTTTTTAAACGAAAAAGATACTCAAGGACCTTGTTCATATCGTGCCATGACATTGTCTATTGCAGAGTATAATTTCTCGATTAATTTAGGTTTCAAAGCAGCACAAATTCAAAAAACCTTTGAACATCTGCTAAGTGAAACACCGTTGTCCGCTTTGTTGGTTGGCATAATAACCAATAACAGCAGGGTCAAGATGTGTCCAGTACAGCTAAGTATATTGAATATTGGATGCGCTATAAATTAGTTGTATATTGAGAGGCTGGAAAGAACTTGAAGATATCTTTGTTTCTAACTTTTCGCAATCTACGAGTATCGTTTTTTAAACATGTGAATAAACCAATAACAGTACAGTAGCAGCGCTTAAACCAACCGATAAATCTGAGAACGCAATCAATATGATCAGACATTCACAGCAAGTTTAAGTTGGTAATTTTCGCCAACTGATGAACTGTTGTACTGAACTATAATACTAGTGCTGGCCACAAAGCTAGCTAAAAGGACTGGTCTATTTACCATGACAATGTAGACACCGGAAGCCAGCCCTGTACCTCTACAGTTCAACAACAACAACAATCGTTTACTTACACACGGTTTAGTTTAAAGCAATAGGTTTGCTTGTGGGGTCGTGTTTACACTAAAAACAGAAATATGTACAATAATGATATGATAATTCTACAATTCTACAATTCTAATAATTCAAAATTGTAATGAAATAATTCTATAATTCTAATAAAACTTAAGAGGCGCCCTCTGTAATTTTCAACTATGGCCATTTGGACCAGAAAAAATTAAATTCCTCAAACTTTCTCAGATGAATGGTCTAGATAAGTGATTCACAAAA